CCAAAAAGTGATCTTGGTGCGTTCAAACACCCATGGTTCTAGTTGGCTCGTTGCACATGTCCCTCACCCCATCAGAGATAAAATGCATAACAGAAACGGAAGGACTTTTCCAGTTAAAGACAATAACTTTTTAAGGTCAGTTATAGACAGCCTAATATGGCGTGCACGGTCAACCAAAGGAAGTCAGGGTGTCCTACCGGGTGCCAGTTGGATCAGGATTCTTCAATGTATCATCCGAAGTCGAAGATATGGCAGTAGAAGTGACAGGCTGGCTTCCGTTGACATTGGTGGAAACCTTCAAAGAAAATATGAAACTGGATTAAAGGTTGTTACAAATTAAAAAGGAAGAAAGAACAACGCTGGGGCGAAAGATGCACAAGACAAAGTAGTAGGAATCTCAGAAAAGCAGTGTGTCGTATGGACAGGAGGGGAAGCTGATGATCAAGCAATTTAAAATCTATGTTAAAGCGACGGAACAGTCCATATGCAGTAAATTTTCTTCCTGAAGGGTCTCATACAGAGCAGAGAATACGAGAGGATTATAAGAGCACAGGCTGAGAACACAGGCTAAATTATTAACAGAAAATTCTGGAGAGACACGAAAACGGCCAACTCCAGTCCAGAAGATAACGCATAACGAAGTTTCAAGTACCAGATACTCGAGGCTGCCCAAAAATACCTAACTGCATGGAAGAAGTTGTCACTCGTCCCACTTACGAGACCAAGCCACATCACGTGCTCCTTTTAGCCCGCAACAATTTTCAGTACCTAGAACGTGTTTTCAGTCACTCAGATCGTATGGCATACCTGCTGATAGTTTTTACATCATACCCGAGGAGAAACAACACTATCTACATGCTGATGACATGCGCACAATCGTCTCTAAACACTCTTCCCATTCCTATCGTGACCCAGTACCAAGAATGAGACGAATTTACTGTAACTAAGGTTGAGCGTAACGGCAAACTGAACAGTGTCTCTAGAAAAACGCACGTTGCAAAGGACAGTTAGGTAAAGGTTTGGTTGGTAGCCCATGTTAGATACCCCTAGTCCCTAGTCCTGCGGTTACTTTTGGTTACATAAGCTTTAGTTTTTAGTTTAATGTCAGCTTAGTTTTTAGCTTTGTTAGATTCTGCCAACTTTAGAAAAATATATTAAAATAACTAATGATATACCGAACTAACTCAACTAAACTAAGCAAAACAAAATGAACTAATAAAATAAACAATAAACTAATGCCACCAGTCCCGTAAGACAGAAAGCTGGGTCTATGGTTATCCAAGGTGGACGAACAACTTGACAGGTGACTGCTTTTTTATTGACAGGATCAAATTCGATACACTCGGGCATACACAGAGGCCACGAAGGGACCAACGGAGTTAATCTCTCGTCAGTAAAGTAGGGGTTTTAGTGAGTGGGTGATATTTGAGGCAACGGCTTTTGAATCCTTCTTTAATTGGGTTAAAGTGACGAAGAGTTGAACAGCCTCGTCTGCACTTGCAGCTCCCTAAGTTAACATGATTTCATTCGTAGGATTAAGTCAAGATGACTGGAACTGAGACCGACCATTTTCACGCAGTAGCGTATACAGCGAAAGCTGTTGGTCCAGAAGCGATCGAGACCGAATTCACACAAAGGCGCAAGAAGGTCCCATGCTAGCAACGCGTTAAAGCGCGCAATGAACAAACGAAGACTATCTTTCTGCTAAATCATAAGCTTAAAGAACCAACGGCAAAACATACTGCACTATGCTCTTTTGTGATGCAAGTTAGAAATTGTAGGACTGAACAATCAGGAACCTGATGGAGGCCCCTGAGCTCGCACGGACGCCAGGGATAAAAAGACTATGTGAATTCATGAAGGCTACAATTTGAGGTCGAGTTGGTCAGACAAGCCTGAGAGCTTTATTTCAGTAAATTTCGACGCTTAGTAAGCACGCTCAAATTATGTAAAGGAGTCTCGCATACACGAAGAGCTATTACCGGTGTCAGGGCGTTACCCGAGAGAGTAAGGATGGAGATTATTTCACCTGCAGTGAGTGTACGCTGTTGGGGCGTAGGCCCGTCGGTGAGTCATCGGCCTCTTAACTGAAGGAAGTGCCCTTCTGCTGCAGGCGATCGGCCAGGCCGCACAGGTAAAGGGTAGGTTACTTCCAGCTGGTTGCCCTACTAAACTTCCGTTCAAATTATGTATCGAAAACCTCCGTCTCCCACAGACAACAACTTCTGCTACATTAACTCGACTAAAAAGATAAGAGCAAAAGTTGTTGAAGAAGGAAAGAAGAGAAAAGGTGGACACGATCGCTGGGGGCAAAAACGTTGTTTGCCCAACATTTTGGATTCATGTTCGAACACATACTCAAAGACAGGATCAGAGAAAGGTACTTCATACACGGCGAGTCGCAGTATTTATAAAATGCAGTGGCTATGCTAACACATACCTAAGAAAATTAATGGCTTCCTCCAGCGTCGAGGACTGTTTCCCTCTCCGTACGTCAAGGTCTCCGAATCAGCACTTGCAGATGGAGTTGAATACAGACCAGAGGCAACCATTAGGTGTCAAGTAATGAAACCAAAGGACATACTGCTATGGTAAGAAACACCTAGAATCATTTATCGTATCTGTTGCAGTTGCGGGCAAAGCAGCTACGTCGGAAAAACCGGAATACTGCTCCAGACGCGAATGGCCGAACACGCGGCAACAGTGTGGAGAAATGAAGTCCACTTTTAAGTCGCAGCTCAGTTGACGAAAGCGGGAGATTAGAATCATGTGTGTCGTGAGTAGCCTGGGTCATGGTTCACGCGACTCCAGTCTATAAAAGGGTGCAATGACCTACTCACCCTGTACTAGGTGCTGGGACTTATTTTGGCCAGTGTAATTAGGCCCTGGGGGGGAGTGCGTAGGCGAACACTGTTTCCAACGCCAATACTGGTGAGCCAAATGAGCGAGTAATCAGCCCGCCGATAGCTAACACAATTAGCGACTTGAACGTAGGCTATCAAGCAACTACTGCA